GAGGACCGACCACAGCACCTCGTTTCCCAAATCTCTGGCAAACTCAGTGGTCCCACTGTTCCCCTCTGCATCTGCCCGAGGCCGAGGCCCTGAGTCCGAGCCTCTCAGAGGTCCCTCGTTGTCTGTTAGAGAGAATCCTCCAAAGGAACTGTACTTTCCGAGGCTGAGGCTGTGCTGGTTGGTACCAGACCTTGTTCCAGGGAAAAGGCAAATGGGACCTCGTAGCGCCCGGGAAGGAGAGGGCGGGCAGGCTGGGAGGCCTCACCGTGTGGCCAGGCCCCCCTGCCCTTCGCCCCGCCGCCCTTCACACCCTGGATCCCTGCACTAACCGCGCATCGCTGTGTGTGCCCGCTGCTCTGCCACCTCCACCTGCACACGCCTTACAACAAATTAGCATAGGACCCGCCTCACATGGTGCTCTCTGGACTCATCCATTCCCTGACTTAGAAGCTAGGGACCAGGTCAGCAAAAAGCAACTCCTGGAAGTCTGCCAGCCAGGGCCTGGTGACGAAGGTGACAAGGTCACTTCCACTGAGGGCAGGAGCAGTCCGCCTTACCAAGGGGCTTTCTAAAACAGCCCCCTCCTTCTAAAATGTCCACACCATGTCCTCACCCAGAGCAGGAGCTCAGCCCCAGACCCAGGGACAGGTGAGGGCAGATGACCTAATGCAGGCACCAAAGGGACCTTTCCACTGGTCCCATCCAGGGTCCCTGGTCTCCAGAGGATGACCTGGTCCCAATCACACACACAGGCTCCACGGGGAAGCACCGAACGATACCGCACGGGGTTCCCGTGATGGCCGGTGAGGGGTTTCCACCAGCCTGCCAGGCCTCCACCCACATCCCACCAGCGTGACCAGTCCGCCCCAGGTCACAGTGCCCGCCTCTCCCTGCCCTCACCCCACGGCAGAGCTGTACATCCGGGCCGCTCGCCACTGCGCACAGACCTGCCGTGGAGAATGGAGCCCTCTTCCCCAGCGTGCACACGCTCTGCTGCCAGGATGAGTCATCATGCAATCCGCACCCTCTCCCTCTGGGCACCCTCCCCTGCTGGGCACCCTTCCCCCGCTAGCACTAAAGCAGCAGGTGCATGAGTTTGCTGTGGCCCCGATGGTGGCTTGCCCTCTGAGGCCTCTGCAGGGCACACTGCATTGTTGCCCCAGGGGCTCAGAGAGCCAAAGCTTGGGTGGGGGTGGGGGTGGGAGTGGGGGTGGAGCAGGGTCTGATTTTTAGATCTGAATCTCCCTCATGCACCTGCCGAGCCACACCCCCTCTCTGCAGCATGGGAAGCTCCATTCCAGCCTGTTTCCTGGGTTTGGACCTGTCATCCTCACTTGGATGCGGTTCCTAACCTGCTGCTCTTCCCGCCCGCCCCCCTCCCCGGCACAGCGCACCAGTCCCGGACAGAGCCATCCGCTCACAGTCCTCCAGACCCATTCCTCCCCTCCCACCGCATAGAAAAGAGGTGTAAAAATTGCTCTCCCTCCTCTCTCCCCCACCCCCGAGCCTTCAAATTCCTCCATCCTCTTTTCTGCAGAGAAAAACGATCTCCGTAGGCAGGCACTGAGCCACTTGCCTGGTTTCCCTGGTCCACACCTCCTCCCCCTCCCCCCACCCCACGCCCAGCCACACTCTCCACCTGCCAGAGGCTCCCTGCCCCCGGAGAACCTCGAACTTTCCACTCTCCACCTGCTGCTGCGGCACCCTCCACCAAAGGGGCCTCCGAACAAAGCCCAGCCCAGCCCGGCCCCGCGGTCCAAAGGAACACTGTGTGCTGAGTTACTCATTACCAGAGTCAGAGGAGGTCACAGGGCGGGAAGCGCGTTGGAAAGCCAGGAGAAAGGTGCAGAGGGGATGGGGACCTCCTGAGGGTATCCAAGGACACCTGAGTGGGCAGGTGGCAAAGTCATAGCAACAGCCCCAAGGTCGGATGAGGTCGAATGGAAGCAGTCCTTTACAATGAAGCAGCTACTTAACGGCTCTTGCTATGCACGGGTGCTGGGCTTCGCTAGCACTTTGCCACAACTCCCCTTTGGTCCTCGCAACAATGTAGCACGCCATTGTTACCTCCGAGGGAGCTGGCCCTGGCCAGAGCGGGCGCCTTGACCCAGGGCACGCAGCTAGCGCCGTGGTGGCCGCTGGGAGTGTGAATGCAGGCCTGCCTTGCTCTTCCCTAGGCGGCTCTGTGTGGTGATGCACTTGGGTGGGTGACTGAGGTGGGCGACACAATTCTGGAAGGTCTGGAGTGGCAGGAAGCTGGCACTGGCACTGGGTGCCCAAGGGGCTGAGATCTTGTTCTCTATAGGCAATGTGGGGTTTCGGGGGTGGAGTGGTGGTGGTGGTGGTGGGGAAGCAGGGGGTTCCTAGGAAGCCTAGGGGAGACTGGAGGCCTAGAGGAGGCTGATTTAGAATGAGATTCCTCTTTGGCCAAGGAGGCAGGACCCTCAGGACTGGTCAGAGTTTACACGCAGGGGCGGGAAAATGAGTGAGCTGGGGGGGAGGGGGGCTACAGTTTGATGGGGGAGGGGGAGGAGTGTCTCCCAGAGGAAGACAGTAGGTCAAGGACAAGAGGGCAAGTTCATCCTGGCCTAACGCAGTCTCCTCGGCATTTGCTACAGCCCCAAGAGCTAGAGAGCTAAGACAACTCTTTGTTGTTGTGTTTTTTCTTTAAGACAAAGTGGGGGTTCTAATTAAAAATCTGTCGCTCTGAGCCTTTCTCCTTTTTCTTGCTTTATGGCATGCTTCCACTGGAAAGGAGAGAGAAGAGAGACAGAGACAGAGAAATCAGGGTGGGGGTGGAGGGGTGGACAAGGCGAGTGAGGGGTGGACACGGGGCGAGGCCCACTCCCTCCCCACCCCTCATGCCTGTTCTGCCTCCTCCGCTCTCATCCATTTCTGCTGATGCTGGCCCCTAGCTCTCTCCCCTCTCCCAGGCAGCTGGTGTCTCATGCACACTCGCCCTTGCAAGTGACCTGTCCTGCTGGAAACTCCTCCGTGAGGCAACTCCTGCGGGCGGGGCTGGGCATCCTGGCTGCAGGTGCAGCCTCTTCCTGCAGCGCCTCAGCAGCTGGGGCTGTGCCAACACAAACTGCAGGGGGAGCAGGGTGGCTTCCTGTCTCAGCACTGGTCTCCGGGGCGCCCTTGAGGCAGCCCTGCCAGCAGCACCCCCCCGGGGCTGGGCGGACAGGTGGCTGCTGCTTTCTAAACCTCAGGGATTTTCAGGTTTGCCCTGGCCTCGCAGGTGGGCCTGACGAAGGATTCGCGGGAAAGAGCACCTTCTATTCAGTTCGTGCTTATCCTCCTCAGACCTGCCAGGTTGACCTTGGAGTCAAAGGTGCCCGGGACAGACAAACAGCAGAGGCTGGCTGATTCCTGGACACTGGGCTGGGAATCCTTCCCGAGGGGCCCTGTGGCCCTGGGGTGGGATGGATGGCCCTCCCCTGTTGTGACCGCAGAGCCCCCTGCCTTTCTGCTGTGTCACTGCCCCCGGAGGCACGTGCGAAGCCGCTCAGGGGCTGCTGGAGGTGGGGGAGATGAAACCAAGGAGTCTGGCTCTGCAGCAACAGGGATGGGAGGGGAGCGCATGCCCAGGACCGCCCGGATCATCTGGCTATTTGAGCTGTCTTCCCAACCCCTTCCGTCCCAGGGATTTCACAGCCAAACGAAGGGGTCGGGACCCCCAAAGGGGCGCCAAAGCATGTCAGTGAAAATACCAGCCAGGGACTGGGCACCCAGGAGAGTCCGCGGTGACTGGGTCACGTGCAGACATGGTCGCCGGGTCCAGACTAGCATGGATCGCCTTGCAGCGCCCTCGGTCTCCCAAGGAAGACTCCCAGGGGGTCGGTCTGCCTTCTTCACCTCCCAGCCCCAACGGCCCGGCTGCTGCGCTCCGGGTGGGTCCGGCAGGTGCCCTGCTCGAGGTGGTTCGGGCCGCCCACGCGGCGCACAGCCGGGCAGACCAGGGAGGGCAGGGCTAGGACTCCAACCTCAGTGGCGGCGGGTAGCGCCCAGGGGCGGCAGGTGCAGCAGCGGGGAGGCGGGCGGAGCCGGGCAGAGTCCCCGGCTCCTAGGCGTCCCGGAGTGACCTTCCCCACCCGCCCGGGCCCTGGAGGGTGGACCTGCGGCAGAGGAAACCCGGAGCGCGCAGGGGGAGCGGGCGCGGACAGGGCTGGATCAGTCAGCCCGGCAGCCGGGGCCCCGGGACTCTGCGGGGCGCCGGGCGACGCAGGTGCAAGACCCCGCACAACGGAGGGGCTGGTGGGCGCGGGGCCGGAGGAGGGGAGGGCTGCGGGAGACCGCCCGCCCTCTCCCCGCCGCCCCGCTCCGCGCCCCCGCGCGCCTGCCCACCCCTTTCACCGCCGCGGCTCCTTTGTGCGGCCCCCCCGTCTACCCCCCCCCCGCCCGGGGCCCCGCCCCTCCGCTAGCGATTGGCAGCTCGGCCGCTAATGAGCTGGGCCCCGCCCCTCCGCGCCGGCGATTGGCCATCTCGGCCGCTAGTGGGCGGGGCCCCGCGGCGCCGCGGCGCGGTATATAGGAAAGGTAGAGCGCGCTCCCTGCGTCGCCGTCCTGCCGGGCGCCCGTCCGTGTGTCCGTCCTTCCCGCTGACTTTCTCCGGCCCCGGCCGTCTCCGCAGAGGTCACCGGAGGCGGTGGCCCCGTTCGCGCTCCCAGAGGCAGCGGGAGAGGCAGCCGCGGGCTCCCGGAGCCCCCCGAGCTCCTCCAAGGGCAGGAGGAGCCGGTGGTGGACCAGAGAGAGCGCGTGAGCGGCCGCGTGCCCGCCAATAGGTGCGGGGCTCGGAGCCGCGCAGCCCGCGGTCCCTCCGCCCCTCCCTCCTCCCTCCGCCCCCGCCGCCTCCCCCCTCGCGCTCTCCGGCTCCCGCTCCTCCGCGGCGCGCCTGGCACTCGGAGCGCCGCAGCGGCAGCGGCGGGTGCAGCTGCACAGACCCCGGCCGGCGCTGAGCGGAGCAGGGCGCGCGCCGCAGTCGCTGCTGAACCGCCACCATGGCCCGCGGAAAAGCCAAGGAGGAGGGCGGCTGGAAGAAATTCATCTGGAACTCGGAGAAGAAGGAGTTCCTGGGCAGGACCGGCGGCAGCTGGTGTAAGTACGGGCCCCGCAGCGCCGGTCTCCGGGGCAGCGCATCCCTGCGGACCGCTCCGCCCCGCGCCCCGGAGGGAGGGTGGCCGCCCGGTGCGGACTGCGAAGCTGCAGGCGCGGGGCGCCGGGCGGGGGCCGGGCGGAGGGCTCTCCGTCCCGGAGCGACTGGTTTGGGTAATTTGCGGTCTATCGATCCGGACCTTTCCCGCTGGGAACGGCCAGGCATGGGAACCTAGATGGGTCTCTCCCAGCGGCCATGCCAGGAGGTGTGAGGATAAGGATGAGGATGAGGGCGATGGGGCGCAGTGCCGGCGAGGCTGCGGGTTTGAGCTCTTTCCAGCCTCCATCAGTGCCCCGGGCGGGGCGGGGCGGGAGCCCTCCCCGCTGGCTGCAGTGTTTCCGAGCGATGCCCGCAGCCCCCCGCCCCCCCCCCCCCCGCCCCGCACAGCCCGCCAGGGCCCCGCATCGCTGCAGCGTCTGGTTGATTGCCATGTCCACTCAGAGCTGCGGCACCGGTGCGGAGTGGGTGATGGTGACGGGTTCTGTCTAAGGAACAAATGGCACAAAGGCATAAGCAGGTTCCTGTGTAAGATTTTGGGCAGCCTGTGCCCAAATCCCCATTGAAAATGAAATACCACATGTGCTTTCTGCCTCCCTGCACCTGGAGGGGGACATAGGTGTGTGTGTCTGTGTGTGTGTGTGTGTGTGTGTGTGTGGTGTGTAAAGGTCATTTTGAAGGGCAGCGTTGTAGGCAAATCTGAGTCGTGACTGCAGTGAGAGAGGGAGGGACTCCCCCTGCCTGCCGCACCTCTGCCCCCTCCCCTCCAGCATCACCATCGCCACCATCATGGACACCACCTGCACCCCCTGGCAGCCCGAGGGAGCCGGGCCGGGGGCCGGCAGGGTTCTGATTGGGAGACGCTGTGGGCATCAGCAGGATGAGTCAGGGAAATAGAGCCTGGCTGACATTTTGAAATGGAAGAAGCCAGAATCTAGGGGTTATTTTATATATATATATATAAAGAAAAAGAGAATGCAGCCTGTGGTGTAGGCCCCTCTTGGTGGGAAAGGGAAGGGTTAATAATGCATCACCCGTCAAGGTTAGTCAAGGTGAAACCTCATCCCAAGGTGTTCCCGGGAGGCACGGGTGCCCGTGAGCCATGTTACATGCAGATCGTCACGGAGATGGCTTTTCGCTCGCATTTCATGTTTTCTTGTGTTTGAGAGAGACTGGTTCTTGGTGGGGTGATTGCCGCAGCCCCTCTGCGTTGTCCTGACGGGGAGGGAACCTGGGAGTCAGGATGTGAGGTGTGCACAGCCCCGGGCGGCTGGAAGGAGGCTGGGGAGGGGGCACTGCGGAGGGGCCCCCTCCTCCCGCTCCCCGGAACCTCCCCGCCCCGGTGGGCTGTCTCCAGCCTTGGCATGGGCCGCGGCTGCGTTGACTCTGGGAATATTGTGAAATTTGCCCTCTCGTGACCGCCCCCCTCCCTGATTAAATATATATATATTTTTTCCTCATTCCAATTGCAGAATAATGTTTGCTTTGGAGGGTAAAGCTGTATGGAAGTCCTTGTTCTCTAAGCCGATATTTAAGGGGCAGCACCTCCATGAGAGAATGGAGTGGGGGGGCCGAGAGGGAGAGGGAGAGAGAAGTGAATGTGTGAATGTCTGAATGTCTGTGTCTCGGGTCCGCACCGCCCAATGGATGGACACACAGACACCAGCACCCTGTGCCTGGCCCCTCTGTCCTTCCTTTCCCGGGGCAGGTGCGGGGCCAGAGCTCAGGGTCTGCTCTGTGCTAACATGTCCGCGGGCGGGCGGGCGCTGTGGGAAAGGTCAGAGCCTCGGCAGCGGAGGCAGCAGCGATGGCCGCCCCCGGGAAGGGCCGCCTCTGCAGCACAGTGCCCTTGGCCTGGGGCAGGCGCCCTTGGCTCGGCGTCGCCCACAGGTAGATGGTCACCCGTGGGTGCAGGAGCCTCCCGCACCTGCTGCGGGACCTGGGCAGAGAGCCCCACCTTTTTAAGGGAACGCACATCCCCTGTGCCCCCTTCCTCCCCCTTCGCTGCGGGCACAGGACTCAGGCCTCACATTTTCCTCCTTTGAAGGGTCCTCCCCTCCCCCCTTTGGACAACCTTGATGCTCCCTGTATTTTTTAAAAGGAACAAAAACTGCCTAAGAGAAAAACGCCTCCACGGCCTGCCCCCTGTGCCCTGGCTGGTACCCTTTGCCCAGCTCTCTCTGAGCAGCACCTGGGGGCCTGTGCAGGCCCCGCCAGACCTTCATTCCCCCCAGTAACCCCCCCTCTCCCCCCAGTGGCTGCGGCACGGCACCTGGGCACCTTTTGCTCAGTGACACCTCGGAGCAGGAGGGGAATTCCTTGCCTCCCGCTTCCCACTGGGACCCCCTTGGGCAACCTAAGTGGCTGCATCTCAAGTGTAATCTGTATGGCTGGCCAGCGCCCTGTTCCCTCCCCCCCGACCTCCCCCCCCCCCCCCTGCTCAGCCACCCTGTTCCCCCAGCCGCGTTCCTGTTGTAGGTGGCAGCCTCCATTATGCACCTTCCCATGTGGCTGGCGTGGGGGATCTGGGTCCGAGGGCGGGTCTAGAAAGGCTCTGGGCGTTGGGAGCTGGCTGAGGTGGGGGCAGCACCAAAGGCTCTATGTTCGTGGACCGTGCTGCACCAGCCCTGCACCTCGCAGGAGCAGCCGCTGGAAAAATTTTCCAGATCTCTGACGTCACAGCCTTGCCATTTGCCTGCCGCTGCCTGGATACGGAGCCGCGCTTAACCCTCGCTGGCCCGGAGGCCGCGGGGAGCGGGCAGCTGTCCTCTGTCTCCGGCCACCTCTGCCTTTGCCTTCGCTGGCCTCTGCCTCGACCCCTTCTGGAAGGGTCACCGCTAATCGCTCCGGTGTGCTCTTCTGGCACGGTTTGCTTATTTTAACAACTCTAGTAGGATTACTCGCTGATAGGAAAGCTGGGTTTTAAATGGATGGAGACCTGGCTAATGCCCCCCCCCTTCCATTCCTGTATTTACCACCCGCCTTCACACACACACACACACACACACACAGGTCCCTCTCGCCACCCTCGCCCGCTGCTTTGCAGTAGCACACTCGTTCTGTAGCTTTTCCCGAGGACCCCGCACCTCAGGCTGCGATCTGGGCCTTTTCCAGACGCCCCGGCCCCTGCAGTCGTGCTGCAGACTCTGACCTCACGCTCACTCTCCCCGCTCTGCACGCGCGCCGAGCTGCCGCCGCGCCTGGTACAGCCTGTGACGGCGCAGCTAATCGGGAGGTAATCCTTGTAAACCGTAACCGATAGCTCCGGGAGCCTAAGGGGCCCGGTTTTGGGCATTTTTGCTTTTTTCAGCTACCTCAGCCTCTGCTGTCCCGGGAAAGAGAAAATGCAGCTCATGCTAGCCATTCTTCTGGGTGCAGGCAGAGGATGAAATACAAATGCGCCGGCCATTTTTACGAGTGCATTTTCTTTTATATATATATATATATATATATATATATATATATATATATATATATATATATATTGATTTTAGAGAGGAAGGGAGAGGAGAGATAAAAAACATCAATGATGAGAGAGGATCATGGATGGGCTGCCTCCTGCACGCCCCCTACTGGGGATCAAGCTTGCAATCCGGGCATGTGCCCTTGACCGGAATCGAACCCGGACCCATCAGTCCATAGGCCGACTCGCTACCTGCCCATTGAGAAACACTAGCCAGGGCTGCGTTTTCTTTTTTTTTTTTTTTTTCTTGGTTTGGTGCACCCAGAAGAAGCCTGGGTGTTAGTGGCCCTGGGGGCTGCTGACTGCCGCAGCGCCGTGTGCTTGAACGAGCGGCAGCGGCCTGGCTGCGAGAGGGAGATGCCGGGGGGTGAGCAGGCACCGGGGTGAGGGGAAATGCACGGGTGAGCAGGCACTGCACACAGGCTTCTGAAGGAAGAGGCTGTCATTAGCAGCGCATTGCAGAAGCACGGACAGGCCCTGGATTTCATGGGCGACCTTCGTGAACATTTCTTAAATGTGGGGAATGCAGTTTTTTCCTGTAAAGAATCTTAGTCCGAGTTGAACATTCCTCCTACCCCCAACCCCCCTGACAGACACACCACAATGGAGATGACCCTCTCCCCCTTCCCCCTTCCTTTCTCCCTCCCCCGCCCATCCTGCTGGTCAGGGCTGGAGCAGGGGCCCTGCAGGCACAGGGGCAGGGATGGCGGGGGAAGGGGGGCGGAAGGTGTGCACGCGTCTCTGGGAAGATGCGAGGGGCGTCCTGAGCACGTGACTGCATCACAGCATCTGTTGTGTCTGCTCTCCTTGCAGTTAAGATCCTTCTGTTCTACTTGATCTTTTACGGCTGCCTGGCTGGCATCTTCATCGGAACCATCCAGGTGCTGCTGCTCACCATCAGCGAATTTAAGCCCACCTACCAGGACCGCGTGGCCCCGCCAGGTAACGGAGCGTGCGCACGCCCATGCTTCCCGGGGCGGGCTGCTGTCTGGAGGCGGTTCTCTGACAGCCATCGAGAGGCACAGGACACAGCCTGCGGGAGGGACAGGCAGCAGCTTCTCTCTGCATCTAGGCCGCAGGGGGCACCTAAACACTACCCCCACCCACACCCCACCCCCGCCACAGGCCACGGGGCTCCAGGCCGTAGGGGGCTCTCACACACTGTCTCGAGGGGACTGTGACTCAGAGAAATCCTTTAAAACACCGCCTGGCTCCTGTTTTCACACGGGAGGAGCCAGGGGTTCAGGGCTCCACTCCCCCACCTGCTGCTGCTGACCTACAGTGTGACCTTGAACAAAAGCACCCTCTTCCATTCTCAGTATTAGTTTACTGAGCATCTATTTACTGGCTTGTGGGACCCACTGCCGAGTAACTGTCTCCTTTAGCTCTGAAAACGTGGCTTCCAAAGCTTCTGGGAAATGCAGGACCACACGAGGATGTCCTGTCTCTGAAGAGTGGCTGTCGGGAGGACCTGGAGGGGAGGAAATGTTGCATAACGTCCAGGTTCTCATTATAAGTGACCTCAGGGGTGGCAGTGGCCTGTCCCCTCCAGTTCCCTGGGCAGCTGTTGGGGTGACAGTCCTTGGCCGTGGGAGGGACTCTGAGAACATCCCCGAATGTGGAGGCGGCGAGCGGGCCTTTGAGCCTCACATCACGTCGAGTCCGATGTCAGGAAATACCCATATTCCCAGATACGTGCAGGTCTAGGGGCTGTGGGAAGTGGAAAAAGAAAACATGTAAGTATATAAAATGACTTCAACCTGCTCTTCACAACCCCGCTTCCAGCAACATCCCCAAGGAGAGGGGGTCCGTGGGCGGCTGCAGGGGATTCTGGGAAACGTCTGCCACCGTAGAGCGTGGCGTGTGTCCCCGCGTCCTCCTCTGACCCCGTGTTACGGGGGCATCAGTAATCCTCGTTTAAATCTGCTTGGACCTTTCCTTTGCCATTTGAAAGCTCTTTTTCAATAAATTTGATGCTATTTTAGAAGAATCCTTAATAGTTACGACCACAGTTGAGCAGAAAGTCCGGCATCTTGTCTCATGTGCCAGTTAGTTAAACTGTGTCTCATGTCACACAGTTTGAGGTGTGACCTCTGGGAGCCAGCCTTTGCTGACGATCCGCACCTCCTCCACATCCTGTGCAGAAGGAGCTGCTACTTTTTCTTTTAAAAAAATATATTTTATTGATTTTTACAGAGAGGAAGGGAGAGAGAGAGTTAGAAACATCGATGTGAGAGAAACATCGACCGGCTGCCTCCTGCACACCCCCTACTGGGGATGTGCCTGCACTCAAGGTACATGCCCTTGACTGGAATCAAACCTGGGACCCTTGAGTTCACAGGCTGATGCTCTATCCACTGAGCCAACTGGTTAGGGTAGGAGCTGCTACTTTCAAGGGGAAGCCAACTGCCTGCCTTTTCCTGGGCATCCTACAGGTGACCTTGCAGGTGACCTTGCTGGGAAACCCCTGGCCGAGGCGCTGGCCCTCCCACCTCGTCCAGCCCGTCCCGGAAGCACATGCTTGGCGCCTATATTTAGCGTCCATCCTCGCGGCCACTGCGGTCCGTGGCCTGAAGGAATGCCGGTGGCTCAGCTCGGAGCTATGCAGCCCTGTCCTTCGGCCGCGTCACAGGCCCCATCCCCCCGCTCCCCGCCCGTCACCCGGGCTCTTTGTCGTTTCTGTCTCTCCTTTTCCTCCACGCTCGCCCTTCACTTTGCCAGGGGAGCCTGGGCCAAGCCCCCGCGATCCGTGGCCTTGCCGAGGGACGTGGCATTTCTCTGCAAACCCTGGTGCCTGGAGGGGTGGCCAGGTCGCCGAGCTCCGCCTGCTGCGGTGCTCCCAGGGCCCCTGCGCCTTCCCCCGGGCATCGTGGGGAGCAGATCGCAACGGTCTGTATCTGATCGGCCGGAGCTGTCCTGCAGGCTGCGGGCGGGACAAATATGTAGAAGAAAACCCTGGCCATCTGGGGGCTCAATGTCTCTGCCCCTCGCTAACATTTAAAGAGGGGAATTGTAGTTTTCAGCAAACGACCCTAAGGAGTGTGGCCGCGTTGGCCCACGGGAGACAAACAGAGGCTGCATTGGAGACTGAGCCGCAGCCTGGCCGGGCGTGGCCCGCCCTGTGCCCTCAGAGCCGGGTGCCCTCGGCCAAGGAGGCAGCTGGGCAGAGCACTGGGCCCTGCGAGCCTCTGACGCTGGCTAAGCTGACAGGATGACCACGCCGACAGGCTGACCACGAGTCTCGGGACTAGATTGCAAAACGAAGCGCAGGTCAAGGGACACAGATACCATGGCCAGGCTCCTGGGCCAGTGGTCGGCAAACTCCTTAGTCAGCAGAGCCAAATATCAACAGCACAACGATAGACATTTCTTTGGAGAGTCAAATTTTTTAAACTTAGACTTCTTCTAACACCACTTCTTCAAAACAGACTCGCCCAGGCAGTGGTATTTTGTGGAAGAGCCACACTCAAGGGGCCAAAGAGCCGCTTGTGGCTCGCGAGCTGCAGTTTGCTGACCACTGTCCTGGGCGGTGGTGGCCATCGGCCCTGTGGCGATCCTGAGCTCCTTGGGCAGCGCTGTGGCTGGAGGACACTGGAGACACCTCCCACCTGGCCTGGGAGGCCGGGCTGGAGCCTCGGCGGAGATGCTCTGTTGAGACACATTACATTGCTATTCTGTGGGTCAGAGTGGCTGCTGGGGGCAATTTCATGTTGCCCAACCCACACCTGAATGCGGTGCTGAGCCATTCCCCCTGTGTGCACAGTAACGCTGGCCTGACACGAAGGGGGCCTCTGGGATTGATTGGACACAGCCACAGGCACCGCTTCACCTCACTCAGCCTCAGTTTTCTCATCTGCAAAATGGGGATGCTATCCCGGGAGGATTAAATAAGCATAGGTAAGGCAAACTGGTGGCATTAAAAGGCAGCTATTAACAGCCCCGTTCCATAACCCCGGACAGGCTGAGCGGTGGCTGGTAGAGCAGAGGCGCCTTATGCACTTGCTTTTCCTGAGGTTAGTAGGGTCCGGGCTTTCTGTGAAAAGCTTTTGGGAGAAATTGGAATAGGAAGCATGTTCGAAAACAAAGTGAGTTTCAATAGCATTGTCGTTCTGTAATCTCCCTCTAGAACACCCATTCCCATGGGTTAGCCCAGGCAGACCTCTTAGGGAGTCCCCGTGGTGGTCAGCTCTGTCCTCTCCCTGTGATGCGAGGGGAGGGCTCTAGACAGGCGGAGGCCCACGTGCACACAGCCCACGCCCCCCAGGCCAGCCCCGGTTTGCCCCGGGTCTTGCCCCCAGCTCACCGAGCAGCGGTGGCATGCAGGAAGGTCACTGTGTGTGGCTCCTGGGCCAGGGAAGGTGGAGCCACTCCGGCTTCCTGCTGAGCAGGTATGAGCTTGTTCGCTTGTCCTTCCTCACAGGGTGGGGGGTGGCCTTTGTTTGCTGTGAAGTGCAGAGGGCTCAGGGCATGTGGCTTGTTGGTGGGAGCATGGTAACCAGCATCAAGGTGGGGACAGGGCGGGGAAGCCAGACCTCACAGGCCCGCCTGCGGCCAAGGGGCACATCTCGTCTTCAAGCCTGTCAGGGCCTGAGGCACTGCGCTCTAGCTCGGCTAAGCGGTTTCTCCAGAATCATCGCATTCATCAGAAAGGCCTTTTTCCCGACATCATTTGGACCCTCGGACCCATGGCACGGGGAGGTGGGTGGGGATAGGGCAGGATTTCCTAAGTAAAGGGTTGCGGCTGCAAACTCCAGTTCCTGTCCCTCGGGGTCCCCAGCCTCAGTGGTTTCCCCACCTGCCCATGCTGCTGTTTCTTCATTTCTAAAGATCAGTAAGCCCACTTGGGTGCACGGGAAGCCTGGTGGTTAGCATAAAAAGCTCTTGGAGCCCCAGAAAAATGCGTCTGTGGGTTCTGCTCTGATAAAGAGCCCAGGAGGCTCCGGTGGGGGTGGGAGGGAGGGCGAGAGGGGTATGTGTGTGGACAGGGCACGGCCTCAAGGCCTCCGACCCCAGGTGGTGCAATGTGTGAGGGCTGCTAGTAATCTCGTGACCTGAGGGCCCGTGTGACGCAAACCAGCTGGGGGAAGGAGGGGCAGGGAAGTATTTTCTAGTGGCTTCCGACCAGAAAGGCATACCTTTCCCCAGTCCCCGCATGAATAGACACAATCACACGCCAGGTCTAGCGGGGTGTCCTGTTTCAGGATGTCGGCCCCTGGGCCAGCGTTTGTTTTGTATCCAGGCGAGGTAAACACGCCGTGCTGTCCTTCAGCTAAGGCAAGGCGCTGGGGGTGGCCTCTTGGTTTCTGTCTCCCGCTGTGAGAGCCATGCCTTCCTGGGGAGCGAGCCATTAGGAGGCGCACAGACTGTCCGCGCTGCCCCCATGAGACCATGCGCTGTCAGAGCCGCTGGGCCCTCGCCCCGGCCACCTGGGGTGAGTGCGGGCCAGGCGATGCCTCTGCCAGGGAGCCTGGCATTGATCTCGGACGGAAGAGGCCCGTCCACCGAGGGCTGTGGAGCGCCTAGCTGGTTGCAGAGACAGTCCATCATCAAGGACTTTTCAGAGGAAGCAGATCCCCGGGTGTCTGGAGGAGGACGGGGGGTGGGGGGGTGGGGGGGACTGCCTGGAGGGGGGCCTTGAGTCTGGGTGGTCCCTGATCACTGTCAAAGCTGAGTCTGAGGCGGGAGGTGAGGCAAAGGCTGCTGGCTTCCCCTTTACCCTCCTGTGTCGTTAGGGAAGCTGATACTGACCTTACGGAGGCAAAATACAGCCCTTAAATATCTTAGTGGCATTTGAAAGGAGAAACTGCATGCACACACTTGCATGCATGCATACATGTACGTGTACATGTGTATACATGCATACAAGTCTATACATAGGTGTGCACATGTGTGCCAGTGTGCGTATACAACCGTGAACATGTACACGTATATGTGTACATTTGTGCGTCTACATCCATGTAGATATGTGTACACATATGTGTGAGTGTGCACACGAGTGCTTGCACATGTGTGCACACACATTTTTGTGTTACATGTATGTGTGCGCTCATATGAGTGTGTATATGTGCACATAGGTGTGTGTGTGTGTGTTTTTGGTTGAAAATCACTTCCTAGCGCACAGGAGAGACAGGAGATGCAGGGGATGTGTCCGTGGCTGTGTTGACTAGTGTTTCAGCCCTTGGTGGTCAGATGGGCGCTACCTGAGGTTTCCATGGAGAAGGAGGCTTCTCTGGAGAGGGTGCAGGTGGACCTTGGACAACATGAGGGTTAGGCGCTGGCTCCCTGTGCGATGGAAGGCCCACATCTAACTGTTCACTCCCCCAGAACTTACCGCTTACAGCCGCCTGGGGCCAGACGCCTTTCTGAGAACATAAACAGCCCGTTAACACACATGGTGTGTGACATGTACTGCCTACTGCATTCTTACGATAAAGTAGCTAGAGAAAGATGTTATTGAGAAAATCACAGGGAAGAGAAAATACATATATTTCATGCACTCATGACATACGTAACTTTTTCTTAATTAAAAAAAAAAAGTATTTGTAGAATACAATATTTTTGCCTGAACTTATGGAGGCAAATAAAACCCACAAATATCATCCATCTGTGAGTTTTTCAAATGATTACAGACTTCCAGAAAACTCTCCAATGTATTGAAAGAGCCCTCACGCCAGTCGGCCAGTAATTTTTTTTATTGAAAATTACTGCTCAGTGCACAGGAGAGACAGGATATGCGCTGAGGTGGGGGTGGGGGGTGGTGCACGCTGAGGTGCCTAGTGGGTGGAAACCAGGAAGGAGAACCGGCCCACGTGGGGCCCTCGGTGAGCGGGCTGCCCGGTCCTGCCCCTTCCTTTTCTTTCTCCCCACTGTCTGAGAATGTCAAGGTAACCGAAAGGATGTAGACAGTGGGTACGGGGCCTCCTCGGCTCCTGGGGGTGTGACTGCTTCAGGGGAGTCGCTGTGAGAAGGGGAATGCATTTCCGGCGCCCGGAGGCCTGAGTCGCCCGGCGAAGGCTGTCCAGGCGGACGGGGACCCCGGTGGCTTCAGAGCGAGCCCTCCACCGCAGGCCCTGGACCAGGGCAGACGGGTGGCACTCCAGGCGAGGCAGCGAGGAGGTGGCAGGGGGACCCCCAGAACCCGAGGAAGGAGAGCAGAGCGCTTCTGTCTTGTGCTCCTCAGGGGAGGGTTCGGGAGAGCCGATGGCGTGTCCTAAACCCAAACCTGGTGCTGCTGTTCTGGGCACGTCCACATGAGAGTGGCTTTTCCGGGAGGATGTCACAGGTTGTGCCAGCTGCTCGGGCTCAGAGGCCGCAGGGGAGCTCCAGCTGTGGAAGAGGGGCCCGGGCTGGGCTTCGGGGACTCTGCCCCGTCCTGGGGACGCAGCCCCCGCCCCTGCCCAGGTCTGACACCACAGGATCCCTGCCCCGCGCTCAGCGGTCCCTGTCGCCTCCTGCTTCCTGGTGTCCCCAGTCTCTGGTGCTTCTCTGCACAGAACAAAGTCAGGATTCTTCCAGAACCTTCCATCTGCATTTCTCTCCTATCTTACAGGCTTGAGGGGGCGTGGCATGCTCGCCATGTTGCCTGGGGGGTTCAGGCTCAGGAAACGTGTGATTCCATCCCTGGGTTGTCATTGCTCCTTGCCCCGTCGGGGAGAGAAGACAAGTTGTCTCTCTGGCCATCGGTGCCGTTTGCATGAGGTCGCACCTGCATTTGCGTATCGATAGATCAGAGCTGAGGGGCTGAGCACAGGGCGCTGCTGGCCGCTCATGGAAGGGCTGAGCCCCCGGTGAGCGCGATGTTGCTGGGCCACACGCTCCAGGATGGAGGCTGCACGGAGCCGGTGCCCCCCTGGGGGCGGGGGGAGGAGCCAAGGCTCCCCCGTGTGCTGGGTCTGGGCAGAGACCCTGTAGGGAGTCTGCAGGTCCCACCTCGCCCCCTTTGGTCTGGGGGAACCTGAGGGGTGGGTGCAGGTGAGTGGCAGGGGCGGGGAGGGAGCTAGGCCAGAGGGGCCGCGAGCTGGGACTCACCTTACAGCTCAGGCCCTGGGGTTCCCTCCGCTCGGGCTCCGAGGCTCACTTCCCCTCTGACTGTCCGTGAGGCTCCCCACAGCTCAGCCCCGGCTCGCCGACATTTTGTCAGCAGTTTGGTTTCTGCTGAGTCACCCGCTCTGCTGACGGACGGTGGACGGCATGGCGGTGCCAGTCACCCTAAGGTCCCTTAGGTCTGCCAGCCTGTCCTCCCCACGCTGCACAGCCCTCCCTGAGGTCCGTCCCTGAGGTTCGGGGAGGCCGTGCTCCTGTGCTCCCCTCTGTGACACCCTCCTGTGCTCCCCTCTGTGACAGCCTCCTGTGCTTCCCTCTGTGACTCCCTCCTGTGCTCCCCTCTGTGACACCCTCCTGTGCTCCCCTCTGTGAAACCCTCCTGTGCTCCCCTCTGTGACAGCCTCCTGTGCTCCCCTCTGTGACAGCCTCCTGTGCTCCCCTCTGTGACACCCTCCTGTGCTCCCCTCTGTGACACCCTCCTGTGCTCCCCTCTGTGACAGCCTCCTGTGCTCCCCTCTGTGACAGCCTCCTGTGCTCCCCTCTGTGACACCCTCCTGTGCTCCCCTCTGTGACTCCCTCCTGTGCTCCCCTCTGTGACTCCCTCCTGTGCTCCCCTCTGAGACTCCCTCCTGCCTCTGCTTCCCCAGCGGGGACCGCCCCCCCGCCTGCTGGTCTTGCCCATCTCTGTCCCCGCCACACAGAATCCTGGTGGGTTCGACCTGGGATGGGCTTCCCAGTCTCCTGCCCGCAGACCAGAGGCCTTGTCTGAGCTCTCCGGTGCCCCTGGGGAGTGACCCTCCGGCCCCACTCCCCCCACTTCAGGATGCTCTGGGTGGACCCCACTCCCTCCCCCGGGTTTGGTGACACCTCTGGCCCTGGCTCCCTGTTTCTGGGGGCCACGAAGGTCACCCCGACAAGTGTCTTACTGCAGTTCAGACCAGTTAGGCCACCGCTCACAGGCCTTCCGACAGTGGGGCAGGGCCCAGGCCCCGGAGAGTCCTCCTCACCATGGCCATCTCCCTCTTCATCTTCAAGGGCAGCTGTCAGTGGTGTCCACGTGCCTTTGAGCTCAAATCCCACAGCCCGTTTCCCCATTTATGGTAGAAAGGTTGTTCAGGGGACATTTACATTCCTTTGGTCATAGAATTTTCTATGGTTTGGGGGCATTTTTAAAAATGTAGATTATTTTGTTTTATTTATTCATCTTAGAGGGAGAGAGAAACATCCAATTGTTATTCCACCATCCATGTACTGCCTGGTTGAGTCTTCTGATTTTTTTAAAATATATTTTATATTCATTTCAGAGAGGAAGGGAGGGAGAGAATGAGATAGAAACATCCATGATGAGAGAGAATCACGGATCGGCTGCCTCCTGCACATCCCTGACTGGGGATCGAGCCCAAAACCCAGGCAGGTGCCCTGACCGGGAATCAAACTGTGACCTCCTGGTTCATAGGTCGACACTCAACCACTGAGCCACACCGGCTTGGCTGCCTGGTTAATTGTTGTATGTGCTCTGACCGGAGATCAAACTGCAACCTTGGGGTGATGACAATACTCTAACCAACTGAGCCACCTGGCCGGGGCCTGAACATTATCCTAATTGTAGTGACCTTCCTTTATTTTTAAGCAAAGATTTAAAACATTCTGTTTTTGTGAGCGTGTTCTGCTGACTTCCCCTGGACTCCCTCCTGTTGACAGCTTCGTCCCAGCTCCTTCAGATCCGCATCAGCCTTTTGAGGATTCCCAGTGTCACTCCTGGAGTGTCTGTCTCGGCCACCCCCCTTTCCCCCGGGGAGCTGCGTGCGGGGGACGTGTGGCCCAGCCAGCCCCAGGCCGGCCTCCTCACTCCCCGCCCAAAGCCCAAAGCTCAGAGCCAGCCTCAGGGCTCGGAAAACAGCCGTGCCCGAGGTCACTTCTGCTTCAGCCACGTCACTGCTTTCCTGCCTGCATGATGCCAGGGGAAGGGGCCTGCGCTGGCTGCGGGCACAGAGGGCAGGCCTGGGAGTGGGCTGCCAGGTTAGCAAATACAAACACGGGAGGTGCCACTCCCTTCGAGCCAAAGGTCAATTACAGGTGACCTTTTAGGTGGGCGTCCCATGTAGTGTATGTAGTACGTGTCCATGTAGCATGTAGGCCATGCTTCTGTCAGAGGTCCTGTGGCTTCTCTGAGTTTCTGCTGGGCCAGGTGAACGTGGCCATGCACTCACCTGCATCCGGGGCAGAATCCCACTGTGACGCATCGCGGTGCCCCTGGAGGGCTGGGCACTGCTGTGCACACGTCTGGCCAGGAGTCCTGTGAGGGCAGAGTGTCCGGAATGACAGTCTCAGGCCGGGTGAAGCGTGGGCCCCCGGGGTGCGTGCTGAGACCTTTACCCCGGCTGGCACAGCGCCTGCGCAGAATAACCGCTCACCCGGGATGGGAGGCAGGTCCCACTCCCGTCCCCGACCCTCCGGCTCGGTGAAGAGTGGAGAAATGTCCGAGGGGTGGGCTGGAGTCTTGTGTCTTGTGGGCTCGGAGGGGACCGGCTCTGGATGCCTGCGTGGTCCCACCGCTTCCTCTGTGACCTTGGGCCCGGAGCTTGACCTCCCTGTGCCAGACGTGCTTTCATCCATAACATGGAGGCGGCGCGGTCAGGAAGTGTGCGCTGTTCTGGGCGCCCAGGGATGGCACCTGTGCGGATGGAGCCCGTCCCTGTAGGCGGCGGGCGAGCAGGGGCTGTGTTTCTCTCGGTGGACCGGCTTCTGGCTGGTGACCGCCCGTGTCTCCACTCTGCCCGGCAGGCCTGACGCAGGTCCCTCAGATCCAGAAGACGGAGATCTCCTTCCACCCCAGCAAGGCCGAGAGCTACGAGCCCTACGTGACGAACATCATGCGCTTCCTGGAGAAGTACCGGGACGCGGCGCAGAAGGACGACATGGTCTTCGAGGACTGCGGCAGTAAGTCCCCGGCCGCGTGGGTCCGCCCCGTCCCCATGGGGTCCGCTCCATCCCCGTGGGTCCGCCCCGTCCCCGTGGGGTCTGCTCTGTCCCCGTGGGTCCGCTCCATCCCCGTGGGTCCGCCCCGTCCCCGTGGGGTCCGCCCCGTCCCCGTGGGTCCGCCCCGTCCCCCTGGGGTCCGCCCCGTCCCCCTGGGGTCCGCCCCGTCCCCATGGGGTCCGCTCCATCCCCGTGGGTCCGCTCCGTCCCCATGGGGTCCGCTCCATCCCCGTGGGTCCGCCCCGTCCCCATGGGGTCCGCCCCGTCCCCGTGGGTCCGCTCTGTCCCCATGGGGTCCGCTCCGTCCCCGTGGGTCCGCCCCGTCCCCGTGGGTCCGCCCCGTCCCCGTGGGGTCCGCTCCGTCCCGTGGGGTCCGCTCCGTCCCCGTGGGTCCGCCCCGTCCCCGTGGGTCCGCCCCGTCCCCGTGGGGTCCGCCCCGTCCCCGTGGCTGTCTGTAAGCCTTGGACGGCACTCCGGGGGTAACGAGAGACTGCCCGCTCGTCATGTTGATGGGCCATTTTTAAAAATTGATTTCTTACAGAGAGAGAGAGGGAGAGAGGGAGAGAGAGAAGGGTAGGGGGTTGAGGGAGGCTGGAGAGAGACATTGATGCGAGCGAGAAATATTGATTGGTTGCTCCAGGCACTGGGGATTGACCCCGCACCTGGGCATGTGCCCTGATCAAGAATCGAACCCACTACCTTTCGGGGTACCGGCTGACGATCCAGCCAGCGGAGCGACCCGGCCAGGGCCATTCTGTGTTTCTAAAGCAGGGAGACTCTCGGTGGCTCAGGCTTGGATGCAGTGGGGAAAACAATGTGTCCTCAGGTGGTGTTACTGCCTTTGGACAATGTCTTTAAAAGCCTGGAGCATCTGCTGTGACTGCTCAGCCCACAGCCACAGGGCCGGCTCGGTTTTGAGAAGTGGGATTGCCTGTATTTCCAGGGCCTTCCTCCCCGTGGCCCTCGGTGGGACCATCTGTCACTGCATGGGCTTCCCACCACACAGGACGCTCTGGCTGGTGAGGCCACGCCAGGCCTTCCGGTCCATCCCAGCACCCCGCAGTCCCCCCTTTGCCTGCAGGGGTCCCTTCCCCCCAGGAGGTGGCTGCCCGTGTACGTCCTTTATGGAGGTTCACTCGTTTAAAGGGACGTTTCTCTACGTTTTTCTCTTTAGAATTTAAAGGGTTTCATCTCACTTTGCAGTAACTTAGAAGGCCTGATGGATTGAACTGAGGCACGCTATGATGGGAAGGGGAAAACAGTTCATTTGTGACCTTGAAAACAAATATAGCCGAAACTGGTTTAGCTCAGTGGATAGAGCGTCAGCCTTCGGGTGGAAAGGTCCCGGGTTCGATTCCGCTCAAGGGCATGTACCTTAGTTGCGGGCACATCCCCAGTAGGGAGTGTGCAAGAGTCAGCTGATTGATGTTTCTAATTCTCTCTCTTCCTCTCTGTAAAAAAATCAACAAAATATATTAAAAAAAAAAAAAAAAAAGAAAAGAAAAGAAACAAATTATATTTGCCTCAGTATTCTGCAGGATGTTTTGTATCGGCTTTGAAATCTATATTTCTTTTCTTCTTTCTCTGGGTTTGGTATGAGGAATAAGGAAAAATGCTCCAACGAAACTGCTCATTTGAAAGAATTTGTAAGAACCCTCAGCTGTGAAAGGCAAAGAACTCAAAGCCAAAAGGAGGTTTTTGGAAAACCTTGTGTGGCAGTGGAAAAGGGAGCAGACCAATTTCTTCCCTCTTTCCTGTTTAACCTACGGGTCAGAGGCACGGCCCCAGGAAGGCCTGACCCCAGACCTCCGAACCCTGAGGGGAGGGGACCCACCTGGCCTGGGTTCTCACCGTGCCGCCCCCTCCGCGGGCCGAGCTGTGGCGGGCGATCCGGTCCCCCCCTCCTCCCCCCCCCGGGCTCCCGGCAGCCGAGTCATCCATTATTGACGGCGGAGAAATACTGCCAGACCAGCTGCCGTGAGCTCCTCACCGGGCCCGGTGGGGTTCGGCGCCGGCACCGGTGTGCTGGGAACCGGGCCGAGCCCGGCCTCGGCACTGCGGGCCGCGGGGGACCGGGTGACCACGCGCTTGCCTTTCCAGATGTGCCCAGCGATTACAAAGACCGAGGCGCCTTCGACAGCGACCCCGGCCAGCGGAAGGTCTGCAGGTTCAAGGTCGAGTGGCTGGGCAACTGCTCTGGGATCAATGACGAATCGTACGGCTACAAGGAGGGCAAGCCCTGTGTCTTCATCAAGCTCAACCGCATCCTGGGCTTCAAACCCAAGGTGAGTCCCTCCCCCCGGGCCGGGAGCGGGCGGGGAGCGGGCGGCAGAGTGAGCGGCAGAGCGGCGGGCACCGGGGAGGGCCGCGAGGCGCAGCCAGTGGAGCAGCCGGAAACCTCGGCGCCCGTCTTGTGGTTCCGCAGCTTCTCCTCGGTCTGGCTTTCTGCAGGGGTTCGGGGCAAAGGGGGTGTCCCAGGCCAGCGGTGACTGTTCTGCACCCTGTACTCAGCGCCAGAGAACGGTGTTTATAGCGTGAACTCTTCCCGAGTAGAAAAGGGAAAGGATATTAAATTTGCAAGCGACCTGCGCATAGAGCGTTCGCTGGTCTCGGTCCTCTCGGAGCCCGCCGGGTATTTTTTAAAAAACTAACCGGTCATCTGAAAGAACGGTTTGTTTTCCCGCACGAGGATCCCCTCGCAGAATTAACGTTGAACACCCTCTGAGTGGAGCTTGATGACGGGGCTGTTGGCTCAAGCCTCCGAGGGGGGCTGTCCTGCGGTCCGAGGGGTGGCAGGTGCCTCTGCTTTTATAGAACGGGTGACCGTGTTCTCCTGTGAATGGCTAACGCCGCCCCCCCTCCCCCCAACATGAGCACGGGGCCGCCGGCGGGATCCCTGTCCGCCCGAGAGGGCGCCGCTGCCCTGAGGGCTGTGTTCGTCCTGATGGGGTCCACGACGGAGCAGCTCAGTCATGGCCAGAGCTCATGTCGTTTCTGGAACCTGACCCTCTGTTGTTTTGCTTTGAATATATTTTATTGATTTTTTTTTTTTTTACAGAGAGGAAGAGAGAGGGATAGAGAGTTAGAAATATCGATGAGAGAGAATCATTGATCAGCTGCCTCCTGCACACCCCCACTGGGGATGTGCCCGCCACCAAGGTACATGCCCTTGACCGGGATCGAACCTGGAACCTTTCAGTCCGAAGGCCTACGTACACTCTATCCACTGAGCCAAACCGGTTTCGGCATGCCTTCCTGTTTTGACGTTGCAGGGATTGCTGGCAGGGAGCTCCGAGCCCAGTCTAGATCATTCCTTTCTGGTCTCACACGGTGGCTAGGCCAGAATGTCCCGCCGTGCGGTCGGGCGGCCTCCCTGCCTGACTGCACGCGAGGCTGTGTGTGCGCATCGCGTGTCTGGGAAGGAGTCATTTTCAAAGCGTGCCGGCCCCTTCAAGGATGGACCCCATCCTTCAGGGCAGGGCCCCCTACCCGTGTGCATTCCCTCATGGCGGGAATGCCCTGGGCAGGGGAGGAAGGGGGAGGACATGCTGGAGGGAAGGAGCATTGAAAGTTAGTTACAGAATTGCTGACTGGTGTGGGTTTCCTTTTTAGCCTCCCAAGAACGAGACCTTGGAGGGTCTTCCAATGCTGAAGTACAACCCCTATGTCCTGCCCGTCCAGTGCACCGGCAAGGTGAGGGCTGGGCCTTACTGGGGCGTGCGGGGGGGGGGGCGGCAGGGCATGGTGGGCAGCGGGGGGCGGGGGAGAGACAGACAGGGACTGAGGGAGGCTGTGTGAATTAGAGGTAAACCTTTCATATGGGACATAAGAAACATTGCTCCAGAAGCAGTCTCTGTTAGTCAAGCGGTAGCTCTATGGGGTAGAACTTCTTAGAAGAACAGAAAGATGTCATGAGAGTGAAACTGGGTGTCATTCCCCCCGGAGGAAGAGGCGGGAAATCTGGGTTTGACTAGTGGAAGGAATATGGTCCATGGAGCTAAGAGGTGGACCAGCCCACACGGGCTGCTCTGGTCCCGTTGGGGGTGAGAAAAGTTTGAGTCCAACATTTTATTTATTTTTTTAATCAGTCTGTAGTGAGTTTTTGGGCCAGCCCAACATATATTTTTTTAAAATTTCACATAAAAAATGTCTTTGGTTTTTCTTTTAAAAATATTGGCAGATTCAGGGGAACACTCAGCACATGCTCCCTGTAGATCTGAGAGCAGGTGCCTGGTGGCTTGTTTAGAAGCCAGGGGCCCCGTCCCCACAGTCCCTGCAGCGGGGAGAGGCCGTGGACACCTCTCCTGGGAGGAAAGGCCCGTGAGGAGCCGTGTCCGGGAGCTGGCCGCTCCTCCCCGGGCCGCCCTGCCCTTGGGCCTGTGCTGAGGGAGCAGCACCGGCGGGCGCTGTTCCCATGTGGGCGGGACAATCGCCTCCGACGGGACCGTTTCTCATGGCGGCTTTTACAGACAGTCCCTGGTGCTGCCTGTGAGACCCCGTCCCGGTGTCCTCCAGGGTTAGGGCGCCTGCTCCCAGCCGGTCCCTGCGCCTCTAACTTGTCATTTCCGTTCCGTTTCCAGCGGGACGAGGACAAGGATAAGGTTGGGAACGTGGAGTACTTCGGCCTGGGCAACTACCCCGGCTTCCCGCTGCAGTACTACCCTTACTACGGCAAGCTGCTGCAGCCCAAGTACCTGCAGCCGCTGCTGGCCGTGCAGTTCACCAACCTCACCATGGACACGGAGGTCCGCGTCGAGTGTAAGGCGTACGGGGAGAACATTGGGTACAGCGAGAAAGACCGCTTTATGGGACGCTTCGATGTAAAGATTGAAGTTAAGAGCTGATCACAAGCACAAAACCTTTCCCACTAGCCATTTAAAGAGTTAAGAGAAAAAAAAAAAAGATACAAAAAACCTACTAGTCTTGAACAAACTGTCATTACGTATGGGACCTACACTTAATCTCTATGCTTCACACTAGCTTCTCCGCATCTCATAGGTTAGAATGTAAATTTAAAAAGTGTAGCAATAGCAACAACAAAAAAATATTTATTCTACTGTAAATGACAAAAAAGAGAAAACATAACAAATCGAGCCTTGGGACGTGCCCATTTTTACTGTAAATTATGATTCCATACTGACCCCGGTGAGCAGCGTCCCCCGCCCCGAGCATTGCTGCGTGCGCGTCCCCGTCCGTGCGCGTCCCCGTGCGCGCGCCCGCCCGTCACTCTCAAGCCATGTTTTATCGTCTCTGTTTTCTACTTCGTGTGAGCAGGTTCGCTGTCCGAGGTGTACATATGCATCGGGAATGACACTGGCATGGTCCTTCTCCCGGGGTGGGGGTGGGGGTGGCTCTTTCCGAGAGGAAGGCCCGCCTGCGAGCGTTTTCACACTCCATGGTCTCTCTCTCTCCCGTGGTGGGGGGTCTTTCTGCCCCGGGGCGGGGGCCGGCGTGGGGGGCTGCGCGGAGAGGCACCGGACAGACGGGAGGGGTGTGCTGTGCCGTGGGGAGTGCCGGCCTGCCCTCGCCCTGTCCCCCGCTCGCCCTCGCTGGCCAGGGTCAGCCCGGGGCTTTGCTTTGAGCGTTTTCCTTTCCTTTCTCTCTGAGGCATCACGTGCTGGTGCTGTGTCTTCATGAATGTGTTAACCATTGTCATGGTGGAAGAATTTTATATTTATGCAGTTGTACAATTTTTTTTTTTTTTCTGCAAGAAAAAAAGTGTAATGTATGAAATAAACCAAAGTCACTTGTTTGAAAAATAAACCTTTATTTTGGACTTTATAAAAGCAACGCAGTTTTAGCCCATAGACGGTGTCCGTGCTGTCCGCAGCCACCTCCATGTCCCCGTGTGTATCGCGCAGGACTGCAGCGCCTTGTTGATCTTGTACTCGGTCGGGTTCAAACAGTGGACAATAAAAGAATGAACGTGCTCCTCCGTGCCTGAGTCCCTCGTCTGCGCGCCGGCTCCCCCGTCTCCACGGCTAGTTGTCCAGGATCTTGAAGAAATACTGGACCTGAAAGACAGGCATGGCTTCAGTGCGGGGGTCACGCAGGCCCGCGCTCGCCCCTCCCCCAGACAGGTGGGCTGCGGGAGGCAGGCCCGGGCCGGCGGGAGGACTCGTGAGTCAGACGTGGGGGTGCTCCTTTCCTGGCTCCTGCTGGTGCTTCACACAAAGCCCAGTTGTCACAGTTAAAAGAACAGGTTAGGGTTGAGGCTGGGTAAAGGAAGCAGGCGCATGCCGTTGGGTTCAGGGTCTGCCCACGTCCTTCCTCAGCCATATTTAAAAACCAGCCTCAGTGCCGAGACAACAGAGCTCTGAGCACATCCATCGGGTAGCAATGAGCTGAACGGTTGGTATCGCTTAGCCAACCTGGGGATGCCCGGGCAGGAGCAGCGGCTCATGTTTCTGGAAAGGCAACCTGGCACAGGCCAGGCCGAGCCTCAGGGAAGTGGGTCCGAGGGAGGCAGTGTCGCTTTCAGACCTGAAACGGCAGCCCGTTCTCACTCCCACTCCTGCTGCTACAGCCCCGCGGACCGGCTGCTCTGGTCTGTTCTTTAGAAATAGAACCCGAGATGCTGGGATCGCCAGAGCAGCAAATTGTCAGGCAAATCAATACCAGAGGGACAATGGCCCCGTGAGCCACATGGGAATGCAACCTGGCCCAGGCCTGGCTGAGGAAGCAGCAGGCCTACAGCAGCAGGAAGCGCCTCAGAGAGCAGCCCCTCTCCCCCGGAAATGAAAGGTTTCCTTCCTGTGACCCGAGGTGGGTGCTGCTGAAGCCACTCATTGCACAGGGTCTTACAGGTGTGATGTTTATGCACAAGAAAGGGGGATGTTTACTTTTTAGAGGGGAGGGGAGGGAACGGGAGAGAGAAACATTGATGTGAGAGACAGGGCTGGGTATTGAGTCTGCAACCGAGGTACGCGCCCTTAACTGGGAATTGAACCCATGACTGGTCTACAGGCTGATGCTCTAACCACTGAGAAAACCAGCCAGGGGGGTGGTTTGCATTTTTGAGGCTGTTCTAAGGTCACAGCCTTGGTCAAAGGATCTACTGCTTTCACATAGCTTCTATTCTGAGTCATTGCATATGTGCTCCTGTGTGCACACATGTGCATGTGTGTACGTGTGTGTGTGCACATACACGCGCGCACGTGTACACTCTGCCCTTCAAACTCCTGTCCAGTATTGCTTCTCTTGCCCACCTGTTCCCCACCTGTGGTCCCCAGGATCAGATCTCCAACCAGGAGAGCAGAGTGGGCTTAGTACTCTGAAGCAGTATTTGTGGGTGCCTGCTCTGGGCCAAGCAGGTTTACACTGAGGGTCGGGTCTAGGAGAGGACATACAGGGGGTGGGGTTGGGGGGAGGGGACAGGGGTAAACAGGCATGAAGACACACCCAACCTCCCTTCTCCAGGAAATGTGAAGTAAGCCCCAGAGACACCTCACACCTGCCATCACAAACCAGCCACAGGTGCTGGCGAGGCTGGGAGAGAAGGGAACCCTGTGCACTGCTGGTGGATTGTAAATGGGGGCAGCCACCGTGGAAAACAGTATGGAGGTCCCTCAAAAATGTAAAAGCAAAACTGCCAAATAGTCCACCAATTTCACCTCTGGGTATTTATCTGAAGAAAACAAAACCACTAATTCGAAAACATATACACCCCCAAAGCTCCCTGCACCGTCACTAGTAACAGCCACAACAGAGAAGCATCCAGATGCCGTGGAAGATGAGCAGATAAGGACGAAGTGGAGACGATGGAATATTCCTCGGCCACAAAAAATGAAATCTTACCATTTGTGATAACATGGATTAGACCTAGGGCAGTGTTCGGCAAACCTTGGCTCTTGAGCCACATGTGGCTCTTTGGCCCCTTGAGTGTGGCTCTTCCACAATATACCACATGCGGGCACGCACATACAGTGCGACTGAAACGTTGTGACCCATGTGCAGAAGTCGGTTTTCGGCTCTCAAAAGGAATGTCAATCGTTGTCCTGTTGATACTTGGCTGTGTTGACAAATGAGTTTGCTGACCACTGACCTAGGGGATATTATGGCAAGTGAAATAAGTCACAGAGAGAAAGGTAGAGAGCAGATGATCTCACTAATATGTGGAATCTAAAACAAGTGAATAAACAAAACGGCAACAGACCCATAGATACAGACAATAAGCCAAAGGGAGGGAGTTGGGAGATGAGCTATAAACAAAGAAACAAATCTAAACCATCATCAAGTCTTCTCATCAGTGTGCCCGTCCCTCAGGGGACCACGTCCTGGGTGTAAGTTCAGCATCGCCCTCCTTCCTGGTCTCCTGACTCACCTCCGAAAGGAGTTTCCACACAAGGCCAGCCAGCCCGGTGCTGAATTCTTAGACAGACGGTAAGGGAATGAGTTTTCCGAATCCAGAGCTTTCAGAGGTGGGCAGTCGCCTGGGAGCGAGCATTAGGCAGACCATTAGGAGAGGGAGGCTGGCCCGGCTCAGTGCCAGGCCTCGTGCAGGCAAACCCGGTCACTTGTTACATTGCATCTGCTTTATGACCTCTAATTATGGACAATAATACTCATTTTCCACTTTAGGCAGCAAAACCGATTTACGTATAATAATGCACTTGAAGAACAGCAGTAAGAGTTCGGCTGGTTCTCAGCTGTGGGGAAAATCACACAGGTGATACATGGCTGACGAGAACTTAAGAACTTTGCTCACATTACAGCGTGAAGCCAAGGCTGGCGGTGCTGTGCCTGTTTGGGCCAAGTCTACTTGAACTCGGTTTAGAACAACGGCTGCACTCACCCCCGGAGGGCCCGGCTCCAAGCCCAAATTAAAAACGTTATCAGCGATCAGAGACCAAAATCCAGTTATCAGGAGCTTTCCGAGGCCCTGATCGCTCCAACCGCTGGCTTCCCAGAGGATTAGTAACGCTTGGCTGGCTGTGTGGCCCGGGAGCCCCGAGGACCTTGGGGACACAGGGCAGCTATGCAGGGAGCAGTCAAGACCAGTTTTAATGAGTGAGTCAAATGACCTTAGTTTCAATTTCAGGAGAGAAATGTGCCTCGTTCCTCCTTCAGGGCGCTGACCACATGTGGGGCCTGCCATCCCCTAGGCTCAGCACCAGAAGAGAAGACTGGGAATTAAAGAGACATGAGACTTCACTATCCCATCTCCTGCCCACTGGTGGGGAGAGGAGGGAAGGGATGGGATGGATGCAGGCAGACACCTTGGTGTGAGTTTTAATTCTGTATTCTTCCCTCTGAGATTGTCAGCATCACCTGTTTTGAGAGAGTAAGGTCTCCCCTCAGGTGCCGACCCTTACTGACCACAGAATGCAGCTGCAGACAATCCCACACCTAAGAGAAGGCCCACATTGTAGTAAAAACATGGCATCCCGCTGGCTCCACCACCGCCCCTAACAAAACTGGTTTCCTAAGAGCAGGACTCTGCTGGGCCTTCCCGAGGGAGAGCAGGGGCCTGCTCTAGCGAGGCCTGTGGCCAGGCAGAGGGGTGAGGGGGGCAGAGGGGCGCAGGGCGAGGGGGGAGAGCCTGTGCTGCCACAGTGCCCGCTGACACAGCGCTGCTGGGCCAGCCCCTGGGCAGGCGCTTCAGCTCAGGGAAGCCCAGGGCTCCGGACACGGGGCTGGGAGGACCTTCAGGCCGCGCCGAAGGGAGATGCACAGGACATCCTTGCCCATGTCACAGCTCGGACCCAGACGTCCTGGGGCTGCGCTGTCCCCTCAAGTCCACGGCACACACAAACGCGGGCCTGAGCCACCAGAGTGGCTCCTGAATATGACTGCCTTCCCTGTGAGCATGGAGGCCGTAGTGAAGGGCTGTAAGACAAACCAAAAATGTCGCTGGAAGTGCTAGGCCTGGAGCAACTCTGTGAAGCCCGGGTCCTCAGGATTCTTCCTGCAGGACCTGGATCCCTCCGAGGGCCCTCGCTAGTGAGAACCGCTACCGGGAGCCTGGAGGCAATTACTCATCAACTCAAAATAGACGGCACTGCCCTTTCTCCCCTGGAACCGACACCCCTTTTCTAAGACAACCACCGAGCAGGAAGCGGCTCTGAGTCTCATTCTAAAACGGCTTCGTGACGACTAATGGCCTCATCTCCTGAAGGTAACCAGTCCGGGCCCAGCCCCTCAGACAATCAGAAACCAGGAACAGACATTTGTCGCTTCCGTCCCCTTCTCCCCCTCCCCCAACCAGAGGAAAAAGCACTGAGTTGCTACGGCTCAGCATGAGTCATGCCAATTTCTCAACATTTACATTTTAAATTTCACTTACTCTTGCTACAGATCCAGTGTTCAACAGATTATCCTGCGTGATCCTTACACGTTTACGAAGTAGATATCAGACCCTGTTTCAGTGATGAAACAGGCGTTTAGAGCTGGTAACTTGCCTGGGGCACGTGGCTGTGGGTGCCTGGGGTCCCCGAAGCCTAAGTGCTCACAGCAGGGAGGAGCCTGGCCTTGCCACTTCCGGGCCGGATGACCTTGAGCAAACCATGTCCCTGTGTCTCAGATTTCACATCTATAACACAGTGAACCTGCTACACAGGGTTGCTGTGGAGATTACATTAGATCACGGAAAGCATTTAAACAGTGCCAGCAGGTACTAAGTACCACGGAATAAGTGTTATTATCACTGGTTTTCCAATATCCTCACGCTGCGTGGCCCACCCTGCTGTGGGTCTATGAAGACACAGGTTTCTGAGCCAGCAAGAGAGCCAAGACTTGCCAAAACCGGTTTGGCTCAGGGGTAGAGCGTCGGTCTGCGGACTGAAAGGTTCCAGGTTCGATTCCGGTCAAGGGCATGTACCTTGGTTGCGGGCACATTCCCAGTAGGGGGTGTGCAAGAGGCAGCCGATCGATGATTCTCTCTCACCGATGTTTCTAACTCTCTATCCCTCTCTCTTCCTCTCTGTAAAAAAATCAATAAAATATATTTTTTAAAATGGATTGATGACCTTACCTAATATTTAAATTAAAAAAAAAAAAAAGAGAGAGCCAAGAC